ATTTTCTCCCAATTTGATATTTGTCTTTCAACCTTTGTTTAGTGTACCTCTAAGTCAAATAAAAGTTTTAAATGTCTTATGGTCAGATTTATCAAATTTTTTTAAAGGCCAATGCATTTTGGGGTCTTGATTAAGGTCTTCCTTACCCTCAACTTACAATATTTCTAATGCTCTTTTGATTATGCTTGTTTCTCCTGCCCTACTGTTCAAATGCCATCTTTATTAAGCTGACTAAACTTAATTTAGTTAAACTTATTAAAAATAAATTCCTCCACCAAAGTATTCATTTGGTCAGTACATATTTGAATAATTCCACAGCCAATTTAATTATTTATAAATATTTAGTTAATAATCCTAAAAAGAGCAACTGAGTGCTGAAGTTGGCCCACTGCAGCCAGAGAATGACTGTGCATGTGAGCTAGCCTTAAAACACATACTAAAGTATTCAGGTCCACTCAAATGTCACTTAGTCTATAGATATCATAAAAACATAAAAGGGAATTTTATTCCAAGTGACTGACTTATACTACATATTAATTAGCATGATTAATTGCCCTATCTTCTCCCATTATGGAACTAGCTATGTGACTATTTAGACATGCTGGCCCTCTAAAAATTATCTTGAAGCCACCGAGTAAGTTTGCTGCTGGGGCTACTTTGTTCTGTTTTCAAATTTATTTATGCTAACTTGCTGATTAAGCCCATTAAACTCTCCTGACACTGGCTCTTTTTCTCAGTCATAGCAAAGAACAAGAACCCAACACCTTCTATTTTTGTCATTTCACAAATCTATAAGGTACAGTGGAGTTAGAGCCAATTTAGATTGGTCACTGGGGTGCCAATTGATAAAAATCAGTTTTATATTTTTAAGTGTATCGGAGTTTCTATTTGTTACACAGCTGTCCAACAAAGTGATATTACCAACTGATATTCAAATGTTACCATACCACAAATGCAGACCTAAACTGGAGCACCTGACTGCTTTGTTTCACCCTACTGAACACCAGGATTATTCTCTTCAAAAGTAAAGAGTTTTATAGCTTTCCCCACACTTCTGTCCCTCAAGAAAGCAGACTTCATTTTAGGTTTTTTTTCCTCACATGACACACTGGCATCAAACAGACCTAAATCTATTGTTAGTACCCTTTCATTAAATGCACAACACATACACTCTTCTTCAAATACATTTTTAACAAGAGTCTCACTCTATCACTCAGGCTAGAGTATAGTGGCATCATCATAGCTCACTGCAACCTCAAACTCCTGGACTCAACTGATCCTCCTGCCTCTGCCCTCCCTAGAAGCTGGGACTACAGGCATATGCCACCACACCCAGCTAATTTAGTCTCTATTTTTAGGAAGGATGCGGTCTCACACTCTTGCTCAAGCTGGTCTTGAACTCCTGAGCTCAAGCAATCCTCCCACCTCAGCATCCCAGAGTGCTACAATTTGTACAGACGTGAGCCACCAAACCTAGCCCCAAATACATCTTTTAAACCATGACCGATGGAGGTGCTTCCCCAACCCTCAACATATTTATTACCATTTTTGCAGCTATGTGTCAATCTACAACAAATACTTATCTTTCAATAAGCACTGGATGAAATAAAGTAAAAAATAAAATAAAAAATGCAACAAATACAAGAGAATTGCCAAATATTTGTCAACCACTAAGGATAGAGGAGTGGTTAAGACAAAAATCCTGCTTTTGTATTATTTAACATAGGGTCCTACCACTGACATCTTTAAATACAGCTTAGCTATACTATTAGCACTTAAGACCAACAGACCAGCCTAATGTGAACCATCAATCCTTAATATAAATTACCAAACAAAGAAAATTACTATACTGATGAGAAGAGTCAACAGAAAGCTTAATTTATATACCATAGATGTCTCTATTGAGGGGGAAAAAATATTTCAAATCAGTGAACACTTCACAAACTTAAACTAGAGAACCAGAAAAGATCAAAACAATTATACAATTTATTTAAAGTAAAATTGTCTTCAATTAATAGGCAAGGGGAAGACTGTATAATTTCCCTTACATAAATGGATAATTTGAAGGTAATCAAGTTTTTTCCTATAAATTGAAAATTATTACATATAAGAATTTTTTATAATACTTGTGATTAGCAAAGACATTTTGTGGAATTTAAACCTCAAACACCTCTGGTTTGTCAGGAATTCTGACTTGCTATTGTCCAAAGTGACACAGATTTGGTGTACATTATGTCTTTCACTACAGAAAGTTCTGGGGAAAGAGTATGAGTTCTAGAGAAGCTGCCTCTAATACCATGTGTTTATTAAGCTGTGGCAATGTTCAGGCTCATTTCTAAGCTAGAGATAAAACTTTCCCTTACAGTATTGCTTTAAACTAAAATTTATATAGACAATCAGCACCAAATCTGATACACAATTAATTTTTAATTATGCTAAGTTTGTCAGGAATGGTACCTGAAGCATGAAGGGCAAGGGTAGATTATGAACAAAGTACAAAATCCAATAAAACATAATGTCTAAACCTAAAGAAGATAATAAGGTAAGAATGGAAGAACAAACACATCCTATTTAGCAAAGGCTCAGAACATGAAAGAACATGACATGTCCTAAAAAATGTCCAAGTTTGCAACAAAAGAATCAGGGAATTAAGAGTGAAATGGCTAAAGATAAAGCTAGTAAGACAAACTGCAACCAGAATGCCAAGTGCTTGCTATAATCTTACTAATAAATGTGGACTTTACCCTTTGGATAATGGCAAAACCATTAGAAGATTTTAGGCAAGGAAGTGACACGATCCAATTTAAACTTTCTAAAGATGCTACCCTAAGTGGATAGACTGGATAAGAAAGTAATCAGGAAGTGACTTCAAGAGAAAGAACCTGAGTTTCAACAATGGCAGTGGCAATAACAATAACAAAAGTAGGCCAGGAGCGGTGGCTCATGCCTGTAATCCTAGCACTCAGCGAGGCCAAGACAGACGGATTGCTCTAGGTCCAGAGTTCGAAACCAGCCTGAGCAAGAGTGAGACTCCGTCTCTATTATAAATAGAAACAAATTAATTTGTCAACTAATATATACAGAAAAAAATAGCCGGGCATGGTGGTGCATGCCTGTAGTCCCAGCTAGCTACTCAGGAGGCTGAGGCAGAAGGATTGTTTGAGCCCAGGAATTTGAGGTTGCTGTGAGCTAGGCTGCCGCCACGGCACTCACTCTAGCCTGGGCAACAAAGCGAGATTATGTCTCAAAAAAAAACAAAAAAACAAGAGTACACAAATGAGTGATAGCAGAAAGAGTCCAAGATTTGTCAATGGATGGATGAGAGTTGGGTAGAGGGTAGGTGAGTTAGAATGTTGAAGAACAAGGGACAATACTGTCAATTACCAAGTATCTAAGAATAAACTGCATGAAAGAGAAATGTGAGACACACTGCATCTGAGGAAACATAACAAATACTAAGAGCTTATAGAAGGGAAGCAGATATTTGAGTATGAATTAGAACTAAAGATCTGGGAGTCATGACAGTCACAAAGAATGACAATCAAGGGAAAAAGGACATGTTGAGCAAGAAAAAGAACAAAGCACAGGGAAAAGGCTGAAAAAGACTGATATTTAAGGAGTGGAAAGGGAACAGAATTAGGAAATCAAAGCAGTGTAGTATCACAGAAGCCAGAGAAAAAAACTTCAAAAAGGAGGGAAAAGTTAAAAAGTGCAAAAGTGTGCAAAAGTGAAATGGGATAAAACTTTTAAAAGACCATAGGATTTTTTTCTTTAAACTAACAAGGGCTTTTAAAATAAAATTTTCTGTGACTAAATTATCTAATAGAATTATAAGAACTAAAAATCAAAAACACACAAAAATACATTAACTACTGCATTAATTCTGACTTCATCTCGTAAGAATCCTCTTTGCAAATTTAATTCTACAAAAGGGTAAATATGAATGTATGAATTTTGGTATTAACCTATCATTAAGGAATTTGACATTTGGATCAAGCATTAATCTGATTTATCACGCACTGTATGATGAAAGTATATGGTTTAGTAATATGTAACACAACTGCTGTAGTGCAAGGGACATTCAAATAACATGCATAAAAGGAAAGAGGAAGCCAGAAGCAAAAGAAATCCAATTATATGAACCCTTCATCAACAAATTAAGTCAACCTGATTTAATGGATTAAGCAACAGATAAGGCCTAAAGACTCATCAGCATCTCCTAAACCAGTCAGACATTTAAAACTTCCTCAGCATTTACTAATGGTTTGCTGATGGGTCTGCCCATGATGATTTGTTTATTGCCTTTTAATTTCCTTAGTTTCTTAAAACACACTATCAAGTATAACTTTGGGGTTGTGTAACAGTCAAGTAGAAATTTGGGACTGTGGATGGTCCATGTAGATATATACTCCTCATCACACTGCATATGGTGTGTGTCACCTCCTAAGTGGTTGTTCTCACAATCTTTCTCTAACTTTCTGAATATGGTATAATTATTAACACTGAGTTGAAAAAATACCATTTGGGTTGCAATGTTTAACTTCTAATTCTTAGACTTAAGGTCCAGTTCGGACACTAGCACTCCTTATCTTGTGGCCATGACTTAGTTTTCTCATCACAAATTGAAATCAATAATTGCATGCTATACAGAATAGTAAGTTTAAAAATGTCTCTACTCATATGAAATTTTAATTAAGAGCAATTGAGACAACTTCTAAACTCAACTATCAAAACAATGATCACAAAAGCAGAAAATTATTATATACAAATATGCAGGGACAGTCATTTGACTTTGACAAGTTGTTTAAATCATTACTATTATAAATCAAGCACTTGACTTCAGTGTCAATGGCAAAAAACAGTTCTGAGGCTTGCTAATTACAAATTAAAAGAAAAGGCTAAATATTGCTAACTCTAGACCTAAAGCTACACAGTAACATTCTAAAAGACTTTTAAAAACACTGTAGTTCAACGTGCAGCATCTAGTAATAATGGCATACCTTTTCTTTCTGTTTTCTGTGCAGGGAGAGAAGATGTGGGTGTAGGCAGTTTTGATAAAGTAGATGCTCCATTAGCATCAAATGATTTCTTTGGCTGGTGATCAGACTGTAGCGTAAATGGACTAGAAGGAACAGTGCTTGGGGTAGCAGTTGGATGAACCACTGGTTTGATGGGGTGCTGTACTGGCGTAGAACTACTGTGAGTCTCTGCTCTTGGCAGTCTGTAGTCTCTGTCATTGTGTCTGCTTGTTTGAGACAAAATATTCTGTGGGAGCAAACTACTGGCATCACTGGAATGCTTGTCTTCCACTTTAGTTCACAGTTCGAAAAAAGAGATGTTGGAATGACGGAAGGGGAAGAAAAAAGATTACGTTAGAATCCTGTCTTCAACATCAGCTAATTTAGCAACATACTTGTACTTATATATCTTTTTATAAAACTGCAAACCTAGTTAGTGTCTGCAGTTTTACCACTGGCATATAAATATCCAAATACTGGAAATAGATAGTTTTCACTCAAATATGAACATTTAACTTAGATTTCCAGGGGGCTGTAAGTTTTTAGGATTCTTTAGAATCACACTGTAGTTCAAACAAAACATTAAAAAAAAAAAAAATCAACATATGGAGTTAAAACATTTTACTAAAAAAAAAATTTAAATGTTTTAAAAATAGAAAAAGTAAATGCTCCATTCCTTCAAAATATGGATCATAGGTTCTACTAGTTGACTGAATTATTCACAGTGGTTCAACTGCAAAAGAATATTAGCTTTATTAGCCTGAGTTTTCTGAATACTAACGTAGCTACTTAGTGGGCTCTGAAGTAGTTTATACTAGAGCTTAAATGAAATCATTTTAAGATGGCTGAACTTATGATGAACTGCACATTCAATAAGTAAACCAATTCATAATATTTTCAAATAATGCTACAAATACCAGAGAGTCAGTAATAAAAACATGATGCATAATGCTATTGGAAAATAGAAGTCCTACATCCACAGCATAGTCAGAAAAATCTACTTGTCACCAGGTGTATTAAAAACAGATCCTCTTTCAATTTAAAGCCACAAAAATATTTTAAACTCATAAATAAGTACTAAAAATAATAGTTTAAACTCTCTCAACAATTTATATTCCAGCACTATGCTTCCACAAAATAGTACAAAAGGAAAATTTCAATAATCATGTTAACAAAAGTTTGTATTTATCAAAAAGTCTAACCTAAGCTACAATATTCCAATCAGTAAATTAAAGAACTACAGTACCTCCAAGCATATGATATGTAGTATCGTAAGACTCAAACATATAATACGTTAAGTTTACCAAAGGATGCCCTCTCTATTGAATATTCTATTATTTTTCTCAATTCTAAAGACCAAGAAAGCACAAAGAAAGAAATATACTCAAACTGTAAGGTAGCTTTAGAGTTGTCAGTAAACAAATACTATTATGTTATTCCACAACAAAAGGTACTGGGGTACTGCCAAAAAACTTCAGCCATATCACACAAGGTCTTTTGCCAATGACTTCATATATAAAATTCAGATTTATAAATTATATAATCTTAGAAAAATGAACAGAATACAAACATCTGTTGCATGATATTAATACATCAGTAAAACTATCAACTTGCATGGATATAAAACTTTTAAATTTTACTCTGAGTTTCCTTCTGCAAAAAGGATACTACAATAGAAATCTTTAGGTACAGATGTAAGAACAAAAATGCCATGCCCAAAGCTATCACTTGATTACCTAGAACGTTTATTTCCTTGATCAAAAAAATTCCCTTTTGTTTCTATATGGCTGCAGTCAAAAAGTAAATATATTCAGATGAAAATTAAAGGTGATAGTTAAATTTTTATTAAAAAGGCAGCAGCGCTAGAGGGACAGGGTTAGTGACTTCGGCAACAGCTGTCTCTTACAACTCTAGATAGAACACACTGTAATGTCTCTTTTTTTTGCACACACTCTCAGAAGACATTTTTGCTTGTCATGACTGGAGGGGAGGTGAGCTACTGGTATCTTGTGGGTACAGGCCAGGTAAGGTGCTCAACAACCTACAACACAGGAAAGTCTCCCACAACAAAGAATTAACTAACCCAAAATGTCCTTAATGCTACTGTTCAGAAATCTCAAGAAAGGTTTCTCTAAACTTAGAGATCACCAATAAGGCACAGATTAGAGTAGGAGTTAATAGCAACTTAAAAATTTTATCCATAAAATTTTCAATATCAATTTGTAAAGAACATTAACTAAAATATCTTAATACTTTGAAAATACTTAATACAGTACAAAAAAAGCCCACTAAAATATATTTTCCTTCTTTCTCCCTTTATATGTAAAAATCTTCCCAATCTTTCCCCTTCTCCCACCTCATACACTTCTTTTATTGGTAGTTACAAACAAGCTTTAAGCCTTAACCTACACAAACACCAATAAACAACACATGGGAAAACTCTGCCAACATTTCCTGGTTAAACAAAGTTAAACACCTAAATGGCTTATTATTTCACTAAGTATAGTTCAGTTAGCCAATTAAAAAAAAGCCAACATAGCTACGGTCCTTTCTCAAACATTACTTACGTTACTTAAAAACTCTAAAGAAAAAGTGTAATACTTGACTACATTTCAACATAATGACAGACCCAATGACTCATCATTTGCACATCTAGGAATTTAGCTGAAGGTAGTAATCAGAGAAGTGGACAGATGTGAATCATAATCTTGTTTACAGTAGGAAAAGGCTGAAAACCACCCAAGTCTCCATGGATAGGGGATTATTTATAAACGAATGTATATCAATGCAGTCAATATAACAAATGTAGAATTACAAACTGACATGGAAACATACCCATGACATATTATCGAAAAAAGGGACAAGTTAAAAATGGTAATATACAATGCCACTTTTAGCGTAAAATGCACACATATATAACTTCTATATACATTTATATACCCACAGAAAAAAGTCTACGTCCCAAAATGTTTCCAGGGCATGGGGTTAAAAAGTTTTATCTCTCTCCTAATATTTTAATAATAAACATGCCTGTACTTTGAAATCATGAAGAAAACAAAAATCAAAATACTAATCTTTGAAAGAAAAAGATACAAAGAATTAAAAAGCACAAAAATAATATTTTTACTTCCCATCAGTTTTTCTATCAGATTTCTTCCGCCACCCCCCATTCATTTACTCTATCCCAAGGGAAAAGTGATTTAAATGACAGTTTATTTTGGAAAGAATAAAGTAGACATAATAGGCTTTGTCCTTTTTCCTCTTTGGGAACCATCAGCCGGTTAAGTGGAAAGGCTGGGCCAATCCAGTACTGCCTAGTTCTGGAACCTAGTTAGCAGGCATAACAACAATGCCACCTGTTCAGGAGGCCCACAAGCTGAGTACTACTTTCAAGAGGAAAACCATTGCCTCATTTTTAATTGTTTGCCAAAAGTCAGTTACTTCACAAATAAAGTGAAATAGGACCAGAATCCAAGTCTTCTGGCCCCAAACACAATAGTTTCCTAACTTCAACATTTTAAGTAATTTTCTAAGAATTAAGTACAATTTCACTAATAGATTGCTTAAAAATGTAATGTTTACCATTCAATCCTGCAAAACTATGTTGCTATTTCATCTTAAATAATTTTTCCCATAAAAAAAAATCAATAATCCCTTTCTGAAACCAAATACATCTCCCCCTACTTTTTGTTTTGATTTACAGAAGCAGGACTCAAAAACACTTAAGTCTAAGAATTCCCACAAAATAGCATAAAATTATTCTCAAAATTTCAAAATAAAGAGCCCCAAAACTCTAAGTGGTACTTAAATTTTATTCTGGGCAAGGAGGCCACTGGGAATAGAATATCTTTAGCAAAACTTCAAATTTAGAGAATGAATTTAAAAAAATGTTACCAAAATTGTCCCATTTACACAAAATTTAACCCCAAAAGAACATTAAGTTATACCCACAGCTTGATTTATAGATGAAGAGCACCTTAGAACAAACAGGTTTAAGTTTTCTAGTAGGCATTTTAATAATTTTGTGGAAATTCAGTATAGAGCTGTTACATAGATCTATGATGGGGGTGAAATCAGTTTCCAAATATAAGGATAAACAAGTTAGTTACACACCAATTATTTTGTCACTATGTGTGGATGGCTATGATTCAATTATTAGACTGAAATCCAGTGAGTTTTGTGTCTAATTTAATAGGGCACAACCTGAGGGAAAGGGAGTTCCAGATTTTTGTAAAACAAAAACAAAAAACCCAGCCAATCCAAAACATGAAACTGTATTGTTTACAATTTGACTCAAGTACAGCCATGTGGGGTCGTTGAGAAAATCATATGTGTACTATTGTGCTGTGCACCTTTTCCCTTTTCAGCAAACCCAATGGTGAAGATGGGGACAGAGATCCAACATAAAAGAAACTCTGTATGTTTCTACTTATTTTAATTTACGTATGTAGATGGTAATGCATATACATTTGAAAAGTAATAAATAATAGGAATGGTCAAACATTATACTGTTTCAAAGAAAAAAATTAATACTTACTTCCACTGGCAAACCCACTAGTGGCTGTTGCCTGCATCACCTCTCTTCTGTAATCCCTATCTTTTGGGAAGCTATTAACTGCCATCTTGTTTGCTTCTTTTTGTCTCTGTTCTCTACAAATAAAAAAGAAACAAACCCATAAAAATGACATGAAGGGCATGAGTTTCCATAATTTATATTCCAGCACTATGGAATATGAATATATGTACCCACACGCACACACACACACATATATATTATATATTAACTGTAACAGTTCTGGCCAAACATATACATATGGAAAACAAAGAACTGAATGTGGTCATAATGCAACTGGTCCGGGAGATAAGATGTCACGAACAGAATACTAATGTTTTCTCACCAATGGCGAAACTATGCCAATTATTTATACCACTAACACCACAACCCAAACTCTGCAATATTAATTCTACATATTTGAAAGAAACATCTTATTGTCCTATAAAGACTTCTATTACAAACTGTAAAAATATACATAAAGACAGATTAATAATATAAGTATTTTATTAAATATATTGACTGTTCACAAGGCCCTTGTGGACAGCTGTCTATCTTTCCTAGACATATTTTTTAAGACAATTACAGAAAATAGACAATGGGCCAACCACTGCCATTAAAAAGGGCAGTGATGGGTATTCACTATAAAAAACAAAACAAGAATTTTTAATGCTATGTTAACCTATGCAATCAAGATAGAGAAAGACTGTTCAATAAGATTAAAAGCAAATACCTTTCAAGCCACTCTTTTGGTTTTTCCCATTGTGAAACTTCTGTTCGACAATTGTAGTAGTATTTTTTCCCAGAAGAGCTAATATGCTCAGACCAGTCATCTGCAGAATCATAAGGCTTAAAAATACATTTTTAAAAATTAGAAAATGTTAATACTACTTAATCACTTGATATGAAATATCAAGAATATCAATGGTTTTCAAAGCATACATATGGGGAAAGACCTGAGATAAAAGTACCCTGATCTAGAATGTAATCACCTCCATATGTATTTTAGGAGACCGTCTATGAAAGCCTTGAAAGATAACAGAAAACATTATAAAAGATAAAAATTAAACAGGTTAATATTAGTTTATTAGACACAGGAATAAAAATGTAAAATTAACATCTTAAGAAAGTATTACAAATGCTCCCTATTATCATCATTTTAATTGTTGAAATCTAGTAACGGGGGTGCAGAACTCACTCTCAACTGATATAATGGCATGAGGTCATCAGTCCTAAATTCCCTAAGGCACCATAGTTATCCTACATAGTAGGACAGAGAACAACCTGCTGCCTGTATATTTACTGTTACTTAGCGAAGAAAGGCACCAAACATTTAAAACTGTAAACAAATCTAATTAAAAGCTATGAATCAATTTCACCTTCAAAATCTACGATAGGTATCACTCATTTTCCCGTAACTAAAACTGGTCTTTCAAAAATTCTCAGATACAGTCTCTTGCAAATATTTTTATAGGCAATGCTGTATCATAATGAAATTACAAAATCTGAAAGGTCCAGTTTTCACAAAACTGATCTCAAAAATTGGAATGTTTAAGTGCCTGCACTGAATCCAGAAGATCTGATAGAATCTCGTCTAGATCTGATAGAATCTCTCTAGTTGAATTCTTAATTTTTTTCAAAGGAGCCTCAGTTTAAATTAAATGAAAATATTTTATTGTAAAATGCAGTAACTTATATTTTTCAAACAGCTAGAAGAGAGGATTTTGAAATGTTCTCCCAACACAAAGAAATGATAAATGTTTGAGGTGATGGATATGCTAACTATTCTAATTTGAACACTATACATTGTATGTATTGAAACATCACTATGTGCTCCATAAATATACATAATTTTGTGTCCATTAAAATATAAAAAATATTATTTAAAGAAGATTAAACTAAACCACTTGAAAAGAAGAAAATAAAATGAAATAACACTATACTGTACTACGGTAGGCTATCCTTTTGAGTTCAGCACAACACAGAGTGACACAAGTTTCAGGCTTGAGGAAATGAAGTCTTACTCACTGCCTTGCCCTCATCCAGCTTTAATTTTATCAATTAGGAAACAAGCTGAGAGAACTTACGAGTTCTCCATGGATCAAAGAACTAGTGTTATAAGAAAGGACCAAAACTCTGGTTTCCAAATGCCTATTATTTCCACTAAATCAGTATCAATTCTAGCAATGCCCTAATAATTTTAGGAGCTTTTGGAGAAACACTGCATATTCCACCATGTTTATACTCTTCAGGTTTACGGCACAAAATGATGAGGGTAAGGTAAGATACTCCTGTGCTTCCAAACCTCTAAAAGCAGTGAAGAATTAAGTCCCAATTCCTCTAGCTTCCAGAATTAAGCTACAACCAAACTTTAGGAACTCAATCACAAAAGGCCTAATACAGAAAGTTCTTCTCCATCACCTATTCCTCCCTATACCTAAATTATTGTGCAAAATGATCCCTTCTATGTACGTTATCCAGAAGACTCGGTTTGCTTGTCAAGTTGTTATAGGAATTAATAAACTGCCAGGAGAGGTAGTAATAGAATAAGACTTGAGACTAGCAGACAGAGAACACTAGAATAGGTTGTATGGTCTAGACCAGTGCTCTTCAACAAAGTGATGGTTTGCTAATCCATCAGGAGGAGATAAACAGTTTGCATTAGGCCAGGCGTGAGCCTGTAATCCTAGCACTCTGGGAGGCCAAGGTGGGCGGATCGGATCGCTCAAGGTCAGGATTTAGAAACCAGCCTGAGCAAGAGCGAGACCCCGTCTCTACTATAAATAGAAAGAAATTAATTGGCCAACTAATATATATAGAAAAAATTAGCCGGGCCAGCTACTTGGGAGGCTGAGGCAGGAGGATCACTTGAGCCCAGGAGTTTGAGGTTGTTGTGAGCTAGGCTGACGCCACAGAACTCTAGCCCAGGCAACAGAGTGAGACTCTGTCTCAAAAAAAAAAAAAAAGTTTGCATTCAAATATATAAACACACTGGTTCTTTCAACAAAAGTCTTGCTTTAAGGAAATAAAGTTAAGACTGCATGCCTGTAGCCCCAGCTACTCCGGAGGCTGAGGCAGAAGGATTGCTTGAGCCCAGGAGTTTGAGGTTGCTGTGAGCTAGGCTGATGCCATGGCACTCACTCTAGCCTGGGCAACAAAGCGAGACTTTGTCTCAAAAAAAAAAAAAAAAAAGACTGAAATGGTGGTTCACACCTGTAATCCCAGCACTTTGGGAAGCTTATGCAGGAGGATCACATGAGGCCAGGAGTTGGAGGTTACAGTGAGCTATAATCTATCTGGCCACTGTACTCCAGCCTCATGACAGAGCAACCTCATCTCGAAAAGAAAAAAGGAAAAAGAAAGAAAGATAAATTCAGCCAAACTAAAAACACTGTTTTTAAATGACAGCTAATTTACATCCTGAGACAACCTCTAGGACAGTTAAAACTTCACAGACAGAACCCTCAAGAGCACTGGTCTACCACACTAACTGCTTTTGCCTATCAAATGCTAGGTTCGTGCATGCTAATGTCTTACACTTAACAAAGTATGTTCCAGGGTCAGCATTACAATCACATACCACTGACTTTACCTTACCTTCTCCCCCCTACTTCCATCCTCAAGGGATTAAGAAAAAAAAAAAGCTCCTTCAAGCTATAGGATATTTTTTAAATGCTGATGTGCAACAGCAGGTATCAAATTTCTCAATTTTACAAAACTACCTAAGATTGAGAACTAACTTAAATAAAATGTCTGCAAAGATTTCAACTTTTCTAAATTAGGCTTCAGAGGGTTGCCAACCTATGCTCTAAAGCAGGTCTCCAAATGTTATTCAGGAAACTTTGGGAAACACTGAGATCCTTTCACAAGATCAAAACTATTTTCGTAATACTACTATGATGATTTTAACTTTCTTCTTCTTCTTTTTGGACAGAGAGTCTTACGCTCTGTCACCTGGGCTAGAGTGCAGTGGCGCTCACTGCAACCTCCAACTCTTGGGCTCATGAGATTCCCCCTGCTTCGGCCTCCTAAGTAGCTGAGACTACAGGCATGTGCCACCACATCTGGCTAATTTTTGTATAGATGGGGTCTTGCTGTTGCTCAGCCTGGTCTCGAACTCCTGAGCTTAAGCGATCCTTCTGCCTGGGCCTTGATGAGTGCTAGGATTACAGGTGTCAGCCACTGTGTCCAGCCCTTCTTCCTTATTCTATTACCAGCACACAGTACAGTTTACCCAGAGGCTAAACGAGATATATGGTATCATAAAAGATTGAATGCAAAAGCAGATACGAAATTTTAATTGCCATCCACTAAGTCAGGCATTAAAAGATGTTCAATGTCAATTTTTTGTTTTAGAAAATAGTTACTTTTCATAAAGATACGTTACATGTTAACATATAATGGGTTGTTAAATTATTATAACTTTAACTAAATTAATATTATATATTATATTTACTTTATTTTAAAGTATTTTATTTCTCATTTAAAATTTTTAATGTGGAAAAATCAATGAGATGCAAAAGCTCCAAAATATACAGAGGTTACTTAGTTGATAAGAAGAAGAACTGGAATATGAATGCAAACTCATACAATACTGAATTTGAACACTTCCCAGCAAACCAAAATTGATGGGAGAATACTTAAAAGGGTAGAGCTTAATTAATTACAGTGTCTTTAAACAGGAATAAACAATTTTTTTCTAAATAAAGAAATCCAGAACCCTTTTTTTTAAAAAAAATCAAATATACATAACTAATCTACACAGTCTACATGTCTATAAGTTCCATCACGATTTTTATTAGGAAGGAGGTATTCAATAAGTTTTTTCTAATATTTACCACAAGCCAGGCTCTGGGCTAAACCCATCACAATAAATGTTTGTCACTGGACTTAGCAAGGAACTACATTGCATCAACACCTTGATCTAATACTAAGGGGGAAAAAAGACAATTTCAACTTAACTTTCAATAGTTAATTTGATTAATAATTTAAAAAAAAAAATCACTCGCATAGACAAATGTCTGTGTGGATAACTAACATTGTGACTGATTTTTAAAGACAGACTTAAAACTTAAAATCCTCAAAGAGAAAAAAAATGCTTAATTTTTTTAAGCTATTGCATATTTTCACCTGAGTTAAAATGATGTGTTAACCTGGGTAACCTAATATTTCTAGTCATTTATTCTTTCATTATAAAAACAGTGGAGGAAAGGTAATTTTATGTTTTACTAATCACTCAAAAACTTCCATTAGAAGTTATTTTTAAGACAAAGATTAAATTTGCAGTTTGTAAATGCTATTTGTGTCATATCTGCTGGGTACATTAAAAAGCAGATCATCATACTTTGAGGTTATGTAACTACAGTTGAAATCTACAGATAGGGGAACTTGATTCCAAAGAAAACACATAACATTTCATTTATTCTGATAATGGTCTTTCAGCTTCCACTCACGTAATTAAATTACATGACAACCTTATGCTTTGAATCTTTCAACTTATCTGAGGTCCATTATTTCACTCTTTCCGATTTCACTAGGTTAATTCATTTCTTGAAAATGCAAATAACCAAAATTTGTTTTTACTGAATTTTTTTTATAACACTAAAACAATGTCTACATGGGCTGCCACTGCAGCCACTGCCACTGTCTAAAAACAGACAAATAGCAAATCAATGATAAATGGAACTTTAGGTCAGTGTTACTTTGTAAATAGGCTGTTTTTGCCACAAAAATAGGAAGATTCATTCTAAAATCCTGAATATACAACTCGTAGAAAAATGACTCTTCACAAGTAGATTGATGGCACCAGTGAAGGATCAAGCTGTTTTCTCAGCCTCAATCCCACCTTGGGGCAATGCAAACTACCCCCTATTTAAGGTAGTCTGATAGAAAGTGCTTCTTGATAGAAGCACTTCACTAACTTAATGAACGTCACTCTAACACAGTGAAATCAGAAGCACTAACTTCAATCAGACCACTTACTGGAAGGCAGGAGGAAGGAGAAACCTAGCAGCCGCAGTTGTTTCCAGTGTCTAGGTCTCCACCACACCACCAGCCGAACTAGCTTCACCATATTCTCAGGACTACTACTTCTGTCGAGTTCCTCCACCCTCCCCAAACTATTAGGTTCTGATAACCCCAATTTCTCCCTGTTGTTCCAGAGCCCAAAATGGTAATTACAATATACCAGGAACCTCAGGGTTCCTTCTTTGTGTTTTCTTTCAGTCCTCAATATGTGAACTATCTACTTACCTGACCCCATATATTAAATCCTGTGTTAAAATAATTAGTATGGGGCCAGGAGCAGTAGCTCATGCCTGTAATCCTAGCACTCTGGGAAGCCGAGGCAGGAAGATTGCTTGAGCTCAGGAGTTCGAGACCAGACTGAGCAAGACCGAGACCCCGTCTCTACTATAAATAGAAAGAAATTAATTGGCCAACTAATATATATAGAAAAAATTAGCCAGGCGTGGTGGCGAATGGCTGTAGTCCCAGCTACTGGGGAGGCTGAGGCAGGAGGATCACTTGAGCCCAGGAGTTTGAGGTTGCTGTGAGCTAGGCTGACGCCACGGCACTCTAGCCCAGGCAACAGAATGAGACTGTCTCAAAAATAAAATAAAATAAAAAAATAATTAGTATGATTTCTGTTTTCCTAAATGAACCCTGACTAATTCAATACTTAAAACTATCCTAAATTTAGTTTTATCCAAATATAATTAAAGTATCAGTTTTCCATGGAAACGTAAAATCCACACTGCTTCATCAAGAGACAAAATAAAGGTTTTTATATGACAAGGTATGATGATTATCCAAATATCCAAGACAAAATCTGTTACCTTCAACCTATGCCAATGACCTTCTAATTGTTCTTTCTTTCCTATAATGTATTTTCAAACTGTTACCCGAGATAATTTTTTAAATTGCAAATATGATATTACTTTACTGATTATATGCTTCAATATACTACTTTTTCTGATCCAGTCCTTCTCTCTGTAATCTTAGCTCTTGCCATTTATCTACACTATAAAAATCTTCACAGTTCTCTAAACATGCTATGCTATTTCACACCTCTACATCTTTGTGTTATCCCTCTGAATGCTATGCAAAGTCTAGACCTCTTCAACTGGCTAAAGTTATATAGAAGCTGTTGGGAAGCATAACTTTTACTTTAATATCTTTCTTTTCTGTCTCCACCAGAAAGTTCCTTTAAGATGGGCCACATTATCTTAGTTCTATATATATAAATACAAGCTACCATATGTCTGGCAATTTGAAACCTTATTAACTTTTTCCTGAATAAATTCTAAATTGCATTTGAATCTGTGACTAAAATATTCAAAATAAGTAACAGTTACCTCATTAACTTAAACTTTGGAAAATACTTAAAATCCCTCATTGGGCTTCATGCTCTTGAGGACCGAGACCTTTGGATTCTTAGTGTCCAACAGAGTATACGGTATACAGTAGATATTCAAATATATGCTTATAAGGACTTTATATTTTGTGAAAAGAAAGCAAGCTTAAGTTAAACTACTTCATAGAAGTTTCAGCCTAAGTTCTTTATATCCCACATATCACAAAGGTTAAGATTTTGCTTTGTACAGGAACACTGAAGAAATAATTCCAAGATGATGTCTTCTAACTATGCTCAGGTTCCACTAGTAAGCTTGGCTCATTAGGCTGAAACAGGATTATTATAGTATTAAATAAATAAAGCAAGGAAAATGTGATTTAAACATTTTCAAACAATAGAAGACATTAGATTTAATAAGACTTGCCAAGCGATTTTTTTTTTGTTATTTGTAATAAATTCTCAAAAACCCCAAACTGGGCATGTTTATAATACTTACTGCATCTGAAGTTTTGCTTGGATTATTGCTTGGATTAGAAGAATGTGAATTTGAACTATGAAGAGCACTGTGGTTGTGTGAATTTTCTTGTGGAGAGTAACTGGTCCCTTAAAAAAAAAGGAACAAAGTAAATTATGTATTTCATGTTTAAACTAACTTCTATCATACTGAAAATCACTGTATATCCCTAAATCGACATTTTACATAAGCATCAGGAATATATATATATTCATACTTTTTATAATGTATAAAGTATCTGTGAAATTACTAAAGACCTGGCTTAAATATATTATGTAGTTGATATCCCAATATGCTATGGAACAATGCTTATAATTAAATGAATGAAACAGATTTCATTTCCAGTAACTTCTGGTGTTTTTAATAAAGAAAAGTTTTAGAAAAAGACACAAGAGCTCAAATGCTATATAACTAAAAAGGCACTACTATATATTTTTGCAATTATATTTCTATGTCTTAGGCTCCTTCCTACTAGCTTTCTAATAGTCTTGCCAATTTTCAAGTAATACAACATCAAGGTTTTCAAAAACTTAAGTCTCAGGGAAGGGGCTTGCCTTCAAGATGGTAAAGATGATACCAACAGTATCTTCCTAACAGGACTGACTCTATCTAAACATTGCTTAAAAGTAACTTGAATCTTATAATCTATGTACTTAGGGGTTTTTCAGCAAGAAGGTAATATAACCCAACTTTTTTTTTTAATGAGATGGCAATCATATGGAAGCTACACTATAACAAACAAAAACTGAAAGTGGGGAGAGCAAGTAAAAGGGTACAGTGGTCCAGGAATTACCAGGCAGAACCAGAGTGGGTAGGAGTATAAATTAGTAAGAATTAGGTATTTCAATCATTAGGAATAACTAAATGGTTAAGAAATAAGGTAAACTGGCCGGGCGTGGTGGCTCACGCCTGTAATCCTAGCACTTTGGGAGGCTGAGGCGGGCGGATTGCCTGAGCGAGACCCCGTCTCTACCAAAAATAGAAAGAAATTAGGGCCGGGCGTGGTGGCTCACGCCTGTAATCCTAGCACTTTGGGAGGCCGAGGCGGGCGGATTGTTCAAGGTCAGGAGTTCGAAACCAGCCTGAGTGAGACCCCGTCTCTACCAAAAAATACAAATAAATTAATTGACCAACTAAAAATATATATACAAAAAATTAGCCGGGCATGGTGGCGCATGCCTGTAGTCCCAGCTACTCGGGAGGCTGAGGCAGTAGGATCGCTGAGCCCCGGAGATTGAGGTTGCTGTGAGCCAGGCTGACGCCTCGGCACTCACTCTAGCCTGGGGAACAAAGTGAGACTCTGTCTCAAAAAAATAAATAAAAAAATAAATAAATAAAATAGAAAGAAATTAATTGACCAACTAAAAATATATATACAAAAAAAAATTAGCCGGGCATGGTGGCACATGCCTGTAGTCCCAGCTACTCGGGAGGCTGAGGCAGGAGGATCGCTGAGCCCAGCAGTTTGAGGTTGCTGTGAGCCAGGCTGATGCCACGGCACTCACTCTAGCCTGGGCAACAAAGTGAGACTCTGTCTCAAAAAATAAAATAAAATAAAATAAAATAAAAAATAAATAAGGTAAACTGAAACAAGATAACTTGCTTTTAGATATGAAAGTGGAAATGGTCAGCAGATCTACTAAGAATTCAAAAGAAGGAGAATAAGTAGATGTGGATTTATTATGGAAGCCTTTTCTACTAACCGTCTAAAGTAGGAAACTCTAACTTCGCCTTGCATGTATTAACAAGAAGCAAGCACTACAGCTCACGGATGAAATAAGAGAAAAGGCAATGATCAAGATTTAACTTTGGATAAGACTCTTCTTATAATGGAAGCTACAAGCAGATTCAAGGACCCGAGAAGGCTAAAAATGTCACTAAAGAAAATTACTTAAGTACAGTGGTTACTTAAGGACAACTGCAGGTGAGTACAATACAGATTTCCCAAGAAGCTTGATGCTTGAGATGTCTGACAGTTTCTTCATCTACTTATCTTGGTATCTACTTATGTAAACACCCTGAAACCTTTTTCTAATACAGTAGGTAATAAATAAATCCTTAATAAATGCTGTAAGAGTGACCAAGAAGAAATCAGTTAAAAATAAGCTCAGAAAAGTTAACAGAGCAGATCTGAGAATGCTATCCTTAGAAAGGCCTGTTTATACAACTGGCCTCTGGTATATACGTGGGAACACAAATTTCAGAAGAGTTCCCACAACCCCAACTGATAAGAGTTGCTCACTGTGTTTAAGCAGTTTGTATATACAATATAGGTTTGTGCTGAATACCTGTTTTCCTACTGGGAGTCTGAAATCTTGGTACATGCTAACCAAATCCAATAAAATCCTTGGGGCATGAAATCTCTAATGAGCTTCTTTGGTAGACAACACTTAGTAAGTGTGCCATAATCTGTTGCTAAAGGAATGAAGTGCATCTTGTGTGACTACTAGTAGAGGACTCCTGGAAGCTTGCACCTGGAATCCTCCAGACTTTACCCCATCTGCCTTTTCTCTTTGCTGATTTTGTACCTTTTCACCATAGTAAGTCATAGCCGTGATAATGACTACAGGTTGCTTCCTGAGAGTTTTGGAGCCTGAGTGTGGTCTTTTTTTTTTGAGACTGAGTCTCACTTTGTTGCCCAGGCTAGAGTGAGTGCTGTGGCATCAGCCTAGCTCACAGCAACCTCAAACTCCTGGGCTCAAGCAATCCTGCTGCCTCAGCCTCCCAAGTAGCTGGGACTACAGGCATGCGCCACCATGCCCGGCTAATTTTTTAAATATATATATTAGCTGGCCAATTAATTTCTTTCTATTTTTTTATAGTAGAGATGGGGTCTCACTCAGGCTGGTTTTGAACTCCTGTCCTTGAGCAATCCGCCCACCTCGGCCTCCCAGAGTGCTAGGATTACAGGCGTGAGCCACCGCACCCGGCCTGAGTGTGGTCTTAAAACCCCAAAACACTCAGTAACAAAGACAAATACTCTTAAGTTAAATATATATATATCTTAGATCCACTGCTGAAATTTCCATTTTCAGACATAACACAAAAGATTTTTTTTTCCAGCCAGACGTGGTGGCTTCATGCCTGTAATCCTAGCACTCTAGGAGGCCGAGGTGGGCAGATCATTTGAGCTCAGGAGTTTAAGACCAGCCGGAACAAGAGTGAGACGTCTCTACTAAAAAAAAAAAAAATAGAAGAAATTACCTGGACTATATATATGTATGTGTGTGTGTATATTTTTATATATATATATATATAAATATATAAATATATAAAATTAGCTGGGCATGGTGGCACGTGCCTGTAGTCCCAGCTATTTGGAAAGCTAAGGCAGGAGGATCACTTGAGCCCAGGAGTGTGATACTGCTGTGAGCTAGGCTCATGCCACAGCACTCTAGCCCAGGCAACCGAGTGAGATTCTGTCTCCAAAACAAGAGAGGAGAGGGAAAAAAAAATTTTCCCCCAAATATCAGGTTGACAGTTAAATACAAATAAGAAACAGAACTAACAATCTCAACTACTAGAGTACTATATCTATACACTACTCATAGAGTTGAGATTTTCATGGAAATTTCCATAAATATGTCAACAATAATGGAGAACAGGCCAATCTTACTGACTGAAATGAACCCCAGAGTAATTCATTAAGAAGACTGGATTAGATGACTTACTCTGATATTTGCATACATTCTTGAAAAAAAAAAAAGGTCTATGCTTAAATCTATAAAATGAAAAGTACCACATTAAAGGTTTGTTATAATAAAAGATATGATAGGTAGAGTACTCTATGAACAGAATGCGTATTATTATATAAATGAGGTCTGTTGACCTCTTTTGAGGTTTAAGGTCCAGGAATTTTATTCTACTTTAGCAGTTATTCCTAAAATCAATGAAAACTCAATGCTGACAATTATTTCAATTAATTAAGCTCTTACTGCTAAAGAAATGGTATGTCTTCTCCAATAACAAGCTAAACAAGCCTGAAAGATATTATCAGTTAGCTTTTAGATCTAGTTCATGTATTTTTAGAAGGTATGGCATAATAATCAAATGATTATAAGCGCTTATCGAAGCACACTAGCCTAAGATTTCTCTAAAGTAAAGAAAAAACTCAATCAGCTGTTGAAAGGGAACTCATTTTCAGAGACAGGATCTTTCTGGATAGGAATCAGATTCCACATTCTATAGAATGGATTTATTGAGACTGCTTAACAAAAATGAATTTAAAAAAATGTGAGGAGCAAGATTAAGATATTTTAGTAAAAGAGATTCCAGATTCCAAATCCAAATAAAAGAGGTTTTACAGAAAGTTATGAAGGATGTTCTTAAGAACAGAGGGAGGGCAGATTTGCCCCTGAATAACATCAGCCAAACAAAATTCTCTTTTAATAAAGCTAAAAATTATATTACTTACACAGAATTGTGGGGGGTATTTCATTTGAGTCTTTTAATTTCTCCATGTAGTCCTTCCCAAAATGAAGTAACACACAAGCAGAAGAGCAAAGTGATTATGCACACCCTCCCCAGGGTAAGGAGAATGGTGGTGGTAGTTATGTTTTTCTAAAGCCATACCTAAAAGAAGTGCTACACTACAAAATCCCTTTAAAATGTCCTATTAAGGCAATTAACACAATGTTCTCCCATTTAGAAAAGGGAACTAGGACATTTGCAGGAGGACACACAATTCTATATGGTCAAATGAGGATGGGAACAGAAACCAGCTTTCCAAAATCACCTTTGGAAACAGTTTTCCAAACAACAGTTTTCATTCTACTCAGGAGCAAAATATTATGGTATCTGTGTCCTTATTTACTACTTGACAACCACTAGAATTCACTACTAGATCCTCAGACTTAGAAATCTTAGTGCCTTATACAAAGAAAGGCACTAAGGAAGAAATAGGTATACCTGTATACCAAATGAAAGATTTCAAGGCCACCTCCCACCCTATACTTTGCTTTGGAATAAGTAATAGCAGATAATAGGTAGGACTGGATAAAGTTCAGCAGTGGCTCTCAAATTTTAGTATATTAAAAAATACAGATTTCAAGGTTGATTCTCACAGAGATCCTGACTCACAAAATATGGG